TGTTCCCGCGCCATTCCGGTCTTCAGGGCGGACTGTGAGAGGAGTTCGTCACGCTGCCCCACCTACATCCTGACAGCCAATGTTTGCCACGCTCCGCGGGCCGGATTAAAAGGTCCGCCAGGCCGTAGTTTGCCCGTTGCTGGGCTAGCTGCAGAGTCCTGACTTTTGGGGCGGCCGCCCGAGAGGCGGGAGGGGAGCGGGCGCCCGGCACACAGAAGAGCCGCATTAAAGTCTGTAAAGAGCCGCATGTGGCTCGCGAGCCGCGGCTTGCCGACCACTGGTGTAGGCGATCCACTCATTCAATTTTTCACATATTTATACTTTATATAATTTAGTATATAGCACTAAATTTTAAAAGGTGATTTTGATTATATATATTGTAATCATATTTAATATATAATTTTTTATGCACATAATACACCATAGTAGCTCACAAGAATCACGATTTTAGAACTATACTAGTGCCCCCTTAGTATAGTGTCTCCAAATATGCAGTGTTAGCAGGATCAGCCCTGCTCGCTGCCAGCAGATGTGTTTAGTCCCTCCGCTGTTTTTCATAGCTCTTGCCAGACTATCCGCATGGAAACCTATCATGGTTTCTGAATTTAAAACTTTTTTGGGCCTAACCCTCAACAGTAGTACAAAAAAAGAGTGAATTGCTGTCATATTGGTCCACAGACCCGATTCATCATATGCCCACGTTCTCTGCTGTTACATATTTGCCCAACAAGGACCAGCAATGTGCTGGTACGTCGCTGGACTCTGAGTGGTTATACCAGGATGATGCCTGCAGCTACAGGCATCATCCTAGTATGGTTTTTTCAGCTGGCGGTTGGCTTTCTTGTAAAAGCAATCCTCGTGGCTAATTAGCCGCTGGATCACTTTTAGAAGCCTTCCACAGCATTCTTGGGCTCTTCCGTCCCACCAGGAAACCCGAGACTGCAGCCGGCGGTTCTGACGGCTGACCACAGTGACAAATTTGTGTAAAAAAAAAATTTGTGGCAAAAAAGACTCAACATGCCTTTCAGCAAATTCCTTGTGGTGTCTACTTTCCAAAAAAGGGTCATTTGGGAGTGTTTGTACTGCATTAGCATTTTAGCACCTCAAGAAACGCGATAGGAAGTCAGAAAGCATAAGCTGCGTAAATTCCAATATATATATGCCATAGCTTGTAGACGCTATAACTTTCACACAAACCAATTAATATGTATGTATTGGGTTTTTTTTTTTTACCAAAGACATAGCAGAATACATTTTGACCTAAATTTATGACTAAATTTGAGTTTATTGGATATTTTTATAACAGAAAATACGTTTTTTTTGACAAGCAAACACCCCAACATATATTCTATGAGGCACAATGAGTCTTTTGATGTATTTTTTTCCACACGTTTTCAGAGAATGTGGGGAAAAAAATTAAACAAATTTTTTTTTTACATAAAGTTATTATTATTCTAATACAGGATTTATAAAGTGCCAACAGATTGCGCAGCGCTTTACAAAATGAAGGTAGACATTACAGTTACAATGCAATTTGGTACAAGAGGAAACATAGGGCCCTGCTTGTTAGAGCTTACAATCTTAGAGGTTGTTTATTTATAAGATATTTCTAACACATAGCATTTACGTACTAAAAATTACACCCCCAGTGCACGTGCGTGGCGCCGGGATGGGTCATGCACTGACTGCGCTCCGCATGCTCTCGACCATCTAATCAAGAAATAGCAGAGAGGAGCAGAGGAGAGACATCAGTGACAGCGTTCCCGTGTGGGGGAGACTACAATGCACCGGCGGACAACGGGTGCAACAAGGAGGAAATCAGCTCAGACCTCTCAGCCGCCCCGATCGGCCTGCCAGCTTCCTCTCCCACAGCAGGCCCCTCTGGCCAAGATGGCAACGATGCAGAAGGGGACACCACGAGGCAACGGTCAGCCCTCCAGGCAGCAACAGCCTGCGTCTCCTCCATCTCCAGCTGAGCTAATGGGAGATCCCTTCTCCTCACAATCCCAGGAGAATCCCCAGCTCCAGCAGTCGCTTCAGGTGGGTGGACAGCAGTTCTCTCCGTGTTCCCAGTCTCTTGAGGGAGACATGGGGAGCTCAACCTCCCCAGCATCCTCCATGGACAGAAATATGGCAGAATTAGCAGACATTATACTGAGCCAAAAAAGAAACGATACGAGCGCTGGATGAAAACGAAAAAGCGACTAGCATGAAAGGCGAACACCAGGAGCCTCCAAAATACATATATCAAAAGAACATGCAGTGCTAATGAAATTCAATATTACATGCATATAGTCATAAGGTGCATATAATCAAAAAATGGTATTGTGAACACCACTTGATCATAGGATCGATCTAAACATATCTAAACGTCCAGGAGTGGTGATAATGGTAAATAAATATCTCCAACAAGAGTGTTCTTGCGGTGCATCGTGCAAAATTTCAAGGCAAGGTGGTGAAAAAATTAGTGACTTCTGTGACCGTATTCCTCCCACAGAGTGAGTGTAGATTGCACTAACCAGAAAGCGCAATGGTAATGCGCATTTGAGTGTTAACCAACTCCTGGTCATCCCCCTATTGAAACTGGATCACAGAGAGGGTCGTCTGGCCTGCGTCAGCTGGGCAAATATCGCAACCTCAGGGTCTCCAGATATCAGGGGATATGAAATCGTCTCATCAGCAGGGGGAGTTTAACCATTCCTGATGTGGCCTCCAGATCATCCCAAGCAAGCCTTGAAGGGGGGGGCTCGGAAGTAACGAGCCAGAACAACAGAAAGATCTGATAGTGTAGTACTTTATTATCCACAAGGGTAAAATATACAGAGTACTTGAATAGGTACTCACATGCAGTAGTAGGCAGTTGATGTTAGGGAATTCCAAAATGTCCGCCGGCCGTCCACAGGAGCCGTGCGGTGTGACGTCACAGGATGTAGGGCACCTCCCTAACGCGTTTTGTATGCTTGCACGTTATCAAAGGGGATAACATGCAAGCGCACGAAACGCGTTAGAGAGGTGCCCTACATCCTGTGACGTCACACCGCACGGCTCCTGTGGACGGCCGGTGGCCATTTTGGAATTCCCTAGCATCAACTGCCTACTACTGCATGTGAGTACCTATTCAAGTACTCTGTATATTTTACCCCTGTGGATAATAAAGTACTACACTATCAAATCTTTCTGTTGTTCTGGCTCGTTACTTCCGAGCCCCCCCTCCTTCAAGTCTTGCTTGGGATGATCTGGTGGCCACATCAGGAATGGTTAAACTCCCCCTGCTGATGAGACGATTGCATATCCCCTGATATCTGGAGACCCTGAGGTTGCGATATTTGCCAAGCTGACGCAGGCCAGACGACCCTCTCTGTGATCCAGTTTCAATAGGGGGATGACCACGAGTTGGTTAACACTCAAATGCGCATTACCATTGCGCTTTCTGGTTAGTGCAATCTACACTCATCTGTGGGAGGAATACGGTCACAGAAGTCACTAATTTTTTCACTGGGGGGGGGGGGGGGGGGGGGGGGGGGAGGGGGGGGGGGGGGGGGGGGACCACCTTGCCTTGAAATTTTGCACGATGCACCGCAAGAACACTCTTGTTGGAGATATTTATTTACCATTATCACCACTCCTGGCCGTTGAGATATGTTTAGATCGATCCTATGATCAAGTGGTGTTCACAATAACATTTTTGATTACATGCACCTTATGACTATATGCATGTAATATTGAATTTCATTAGCGCTGCATGTTCTTTTGATATAATTATACTGAGCCAGACTAGCTCCACTGAACAACCTCCTTTGTCACAACCGGTCCCATACTCGGGGGACGCGGTTCTGATAGTAAGATTTTCCACATTACTACAGAAAGAATTATCTAAAGAATACACCATTATAACCACAGATATTAAAAGAGACTTTCAAGGTATAAGGGGATAGGCTGGACTCTACTGAATCCAAAATGGATGGTACAATTAAAAAGGTTAATCAGAACTCTAATTTGATCTCAACTTTGCAGGATCAACTGGATCAGGCTCAGGCTAAGATTGAAGACCTTGAAAATAGATCCCGACGCTATAACTTCAGGATCAGAGGCCTTCTGGAATCAATAGTGGATCTAGAATCAGTGATATACACCCTGATGCAGGAGCTGATCTCAGATTTGTAATTTCTTATGAAAAACCAAATAAACACTACTGGAAACAAAAATGACACCCCAAAATACATTCTGCTACTGCTTCTGAGTATGGGGATACCACATGTGAGACTTTTTCATAGCCTGGCCACATGCAGAGGCCCAATAATCAAGTAGCACCTTCAGGCATTCTGGAGACATAAATTACACATCTAATTTCCTGACTACCTATCACATTTTTAAGGCCCTGGAGCACCAGGACAGTGGAAATACCCACAAAATGATCACATTTTGGAAAGCAAACAGCACAACGTATTTTCTCCCAGGTATATAGTCTTTTGAACATTTAACTTTTTTGCCACAAGTTTTTGTAAAATGTGAAAAGAAAATTAAAATTATTTTTTTAACACAAAGTTTTCAACCTATAAGGTAACAAGCAGCAATTGACATATCAAGAATTACAACCAAAATACATTCTACTACTCCTCCAGGTTAAGGTGATACCACATGTATAAGACCTTTAGTTATACTTCAATACCCAACATCTTCTGTTGACTTCCTGTTGTCACCGCTTTTCTTTCATTCAAAGAGGCAAAGCACTGATATTTAGCACCCCCAGCTTATAAAACTGAAGACTATTACTGGGCACGACCGACACACCTCACCGATATCACACATATAAAACTGTACACACCGCAGCCAACTTTTTCGTTGCCCATATAAAACATGGCTGCAGTTGTCTCCATCCGGTCACATGGGTGCGTCAGAGGCAGCGGCGGGACGTAGAGGTGAGGCTTCATGACGTAGCGAAGGCGTCATGACGTAGCAAAGACGCCGTGCTCGCAGATTGTGGAGTTTGGGAGGTTGTTCGGTTGTTTCGGGCAATGGAGGATGAGGTGTGCGATTTCCTGAGGCAGAACCGGGAGACGGCGGCATGGCTGGAGGGGATACGAGGGGTTTGTGAGTCGGACAAGCTGTGGCAGCACCGGAGAGAGTTCATTTTGCGGAACCTGGCGGACTTCTGTGGGCCCGGGCAGCCGCCACCACCGCCCGACTCCAACCACCAGGGGCTGGACCGGCTCCTCGCCTACTCCATGGTGTGGGCTAACCATGTCTTCACCGGGTGCTGGTATGTATGTATGTCTGTATGGAGGGCAGGGCCTGTCGGGATGGATAGCCGTGGAAGGGATTGTATAGCCGAGTCCTCCGATTATATGACATTGGGAAATCTAAGGCTGCCCATACACTTTGCAATCAGTTTGTACAGCCTGATGTAGGCCCCATTCACACCCGCACATTGTGGCACCGCATGTTTCTTTCTCTTGCTAAGTGTTGTAGGGCTGCTCGTTCAATTGAATGGACCTTCCTGTGAGCAACAAATGGGGCAAAGTATCTCATGTACCCTTCCTTCATAGGACGAAATACCATTAAGAACGAATGGCACCCATAGGTGAGCTCCAAGTTTTTTTTTTACTTTACAAGTCCTGAAAACACGTGCAAAAAATACATCTTTCTGCCACACGCAGGTGTGATCGGGGCCTTGGGGTCTCCATACACATTACAATTGTGTCATACAATCTAACAGTGTAATATGAGGCTGCACCCAGTCTATGCAGTCAATGTGTATACAATCAGGCTGGACCATGTGCTTCCTAGTTGTTGGTAGATCAAAAGGTGATTGTACAACCGCTTCATAACATGTGGTTTAGGCCTTGTTCACACAGGTTGACCACATCCTTCGTGCCATGCAGGGCTGTGGCTGCCCTTACTCAAGATGGCTGTGGTTAGAAATGCAGAGCCATGTTTTGTGGGTTGCACAGGTTTTGCTTGCTTCCCTGTGTGGGTAGTCCCATTCATGTCTATTGGAACACAGCCACTGCTCCCACTATGACATCCGGGGCAGTTCAAAGTTTGGGATTTTCTTTTACGTTCTCTTTCAATGATAATGGTAAACAGGACAAAAAGAGAGTTAATACTGCTGTCTGTGCCTTCATTTGGAGTTTTCACCGACAGGTGCCTCTAATCCATCAACTCTAGTGGTGCACTGAAATAAAGATTCCAGTGCAGAAACCGAAAATATAGGATGGGCTTGGCCAAAAAGCAAAACAGACAAATTATTTTTTTTTTTTATTACAAGTGTTACTAAACCCACAACAGTAAAATCAGTCTGTATATGCAGTAAAGCAAACTTGTTATACTCACTGTGGAAACTAAGGGGTTAATCCCCTGTATTGTGTAAAAAGGCTGTTTGATCCTGACTTCTCTGATCCTTCCTTTCTTCCAGTGTCCCCCTCATCTCCTGATCAGACATATCGTGCAGAGTCACTCTGCACATGCTCAGATTGGTGTGTACTGCTAGAGTTTTTGTTGGGGGGGGGGGGGGGAGGGGGAGGACATGTGATCAGCACAGGGCCAATTAGCACTGTCAGGTCAGGGTTTCTGCATCTTCCTAGAGCAAAATGAAGACTCCTCCTACAAGCTTTAACATGTGCTTTGCTGGACTCTGATAGAAGACTTGACTACCTGATGAGAAAAGGTATTTACAGGAATGTTGACCCTTTTTTTTTTTTTTTTTTTTTTTTTTTTTTTTTTTTTTTTTTTTTTTTTTTTACTACTTTTCCAGGAGCTAAATCTGGGTCCTAATTTACTTGTCCAGATAAAGAAATAAAAATTGTAACCAAAACTGTATTTAAATCTGAGATGCTTTTAGGAATGTCTGGGGCTTTACAGCGGCTTAAATATTTAATTTTTTAACATTGCGCTCCAAATCTCCTCTTCCTCTCCCTGCCTGTCTCCAGCCCCACACCCAGGGGCTATCGGGGATGGGAGAGACCTTTCAAGTGTAATGAGCACTGATTGGGTGCTCCTCAGGAAAGGGCAATGTCCGGCTTATCCTTTATCCCTGTGACAATTTTGTGTTTTTTGCTCACATTTTAAAGAAAATTATTTTTGGTTTGAAGATTACACAAAACTCCCAAACGTTATATTTTTTCTTAAAGCAGAGACCCTAGAGAATAAAATAGAGGTAGTTTCCATTTTTCATGTCACACGATATTACCACAAAGGTCTTGGAAACACAAAATTTCAGTAAAAAAATACACAAGTTAATTTTAGCGCACAAAAAACAAATTATCCAATTTTTTTTGTAAAATATATAAAAAATGAGGTTGCATCGAGTAAATAGATATCCAGCATGTCAAACCTTAAATTTGCGTATGCTCGTGAAACAGAAACTAATTTCAGTACCCTATATTTTCTATAGGTGGCGCTTTTAAAGCCCCTTATAGGCCATCAGTTTATCGTTATGGAGGAGATCTTATATTAGAATTATTGCTCTCATTCTGGCATATGTGACGATATGTAACGTGTATCGCAATCAACGTTTTCATGTGTAGGCGCCCCAGAGCGTGCTTTTACGTTTGTGCATACGTACATATGTGGGGGCCTCGAAAATTTGGGGGGGGGTTTATATGCTTGTGTGTAACATCCCATCAGCACCCAGTGAAACCAGTCTCAGTCCCGTAGATGGGCAAGCAGAGCCCGGAACATATAGCAGGAGGAGAGGCTGGCACTGTGGGTTGTGTGGAAGCAATCGGGCCGCAGGGCTAAAGACAAAAAAAAAACTATCTTCCCGGAATTGCATGTCCTGGGTGTTGGTCGATATGAATTGCACATCCCTGTTGTTAGTTTTAGGGCACAAAAAATAATTACCCTATTTTTGATAAAGATAATAAAAGATGGTTTCACTGAGTAAATGGATATCCAGCATGTCAAACCTTAAATTTGCATGCACTCGTGAAGTGGCAACTAGCTTTAGTACCCTATATTTTCTATGGGTCACCCTTTTAAAGGCCTTATAGGGCATCAGTTTAGTGTTACCGAGGAGGTCTTGTGCTAGAATTATTGCTCTCATTGTGGTGTGGGGGGCTGAAATTTTTGTTTACTTGAGGGGGGGGGGGGGATGTTATGTGCTTGGGTGAAACTTTTTTTTACAAATTTTTTTTTTTTTTTCCCAATCACATAGGGGACAAAGTCCCTTTTTGGTGACATGTTCTCTTTTATTGAGACATCCAGGGTCTAAAAGACAGGTACCCCTCCCACTTCCGGCTCAGTTTGCGTGGCGAAGTGAGCTGGAAGTTCGGTCCCATCCTCCCTCCCGGGAACTTCCACAGGTCCCAGAAGATTACTGGACCAATTTGGAGGTGCAGTGCAACTCACTCATGCACAATGGGCACCAGGCTGTGAAGCCACAAGCTGTCACAGCCTGGTGCCACAGTTGAGATGCCAGCGCCATAGGGGAAGAAGGGGAGAAAAGACAGCGTGGGTGAGAACATGGACTCTGGGATAGGTAAGTGTGTTTATTTGCACTTTTTGTAGCTGCTGACTTTTAATAAGCACAGAAACGTCTGGAACTCTGCTTTAATTCATGTGGTTGGCACTTTTGCATTGAATTCACTAGGACATTTTTTGTATTGAAGTCTATGTGACGTAATTTTGTATTTAAATCTATGGGACGCGACTTTTGCATTGAAGTCACTAGGGGGGCGACTCTGCCCGAAAGTCTGTGGGGATGCAACTTTGCCAGAGTTGCTTTGACACCTTTCTTTTATAATGAAAACAGAGAAGCCATTGAAGTCCTTATTTCCTATCCGCAAAATGGCAATATGCCGATAACACAATTTTCAGCCAATACCTTTCGGCCACCAATATGTAGGTGCATCCCTAATCTCCACTCTAAAAGGCAAAACTATTTTTTTTTTAGTTTTAAATAGTCATACTTTATTAGTACACTGTAAATAGCCCTGTTCTAGGTAATCTTGGTTTGTTGTTTTGTTTTTTGTTTAACAGTCTTGTTTTTCTTCCAGCTATCCACCTCTTGTTATGGAAAAAGCTCTTAAAATGGCAGAAAAATATAAAGGTCACTGATGCGCCCATTCATACAACTCGTGATGAACTGGTTTCCAAGGTGAAGAAAAGAGGGATTACAAGTAGCAATGGTTAGCAGAACATAGATGTACATTTGAGGCATTTCCTATAAAGTTCAGCGTGTTACTGTATTTTCTATTTAGAATACTTTTTAATGGTATTTTATGTGAAAACTATATTACATTGTGCATCTTTGTAAACAAGAATTGGTGGACACTTGAATTGAACTCTGCCTGTTAACAGCAGAAAAACATGACTTGTATGTACTACATGTCCTGTTCAGTATATGTTGCTCAGCCATAACATTAAGACCACCCACCCAATATTGAGTAGGTCACCCTTTTTGCTGCCAAAACAGCACTGACCCATGGAGACATGGACTCCACTAGACTTTTGAAGCTATGCTGTGGTATCTGGTACCAAGCTGTCAGCAGCAGATCTTTAAAGCCTTGACTGGCTTGCCTTTTTCCCATAGCACATCCTTGAGCCTTCTTTTCCTCAGGTAAGCAACACACACTCGCCTGGCCATCCACATGATGTAAAAGAAAATGTTCATCAGACCAGGCCACCTTCTGTCATTGCTCCTTGGCCCAGTTCTGATACATGCCCATTGTAGGTGCTTTTTCCTGTGCACACTGGTCAGCAGGGGTATCCTGACTGTTCAGCAGCCACATGCACAACAAACTACAAAGCACTGTGTGTTCTGACACCTTTCTATCGGAATCAGCATGAAACTTTTTTAGCAATTTGAGCTAGCTCTTCTATTGGATCAAACTACACGGCCTGCCTAGCTCCCCATATGCATCAGTGAGCCTTGGCAACCTATGATCCTATCGCCAGTTCACTGTTTTTCTGCCCTTGGGCCACTTATGGTAGGTCCTGACCCCTGCGGACTGGAACATCCCAGAGAGCTGCAGTTTTGGAGATATTTTGACTTGGCCATCTAATTTGGCCCTTTTCTATTTTCAGCATATCATCTTCAGAGATTTATTTATTTCAGGTACTTATATAGCGCCATCAATTTACTCAGCGCTTTTACATATATATTGTACATTCACATCAGTCCCTAACCCTCACGGGGTGTACAATCTAAGGTCCCTAACTCACATTATTACATACACATACTAGGGACAATTTAGACAGGATCCAACTAACCTACCAGCATGTCTTTGGCGTGTGGGAGGAAACCGGAGTACCCGGTGAAAACCCACGCAGGCACAGGGAGAACATGCAAACTCCAGGCAGGAGGTGCCATGGCTGGGATTCGAACCAACGACCCTAGTACTGCCAGGCGGAAGTGCTAACCATTTAGCCACTGTGCTGCCTAATAGACCCCACCAACTTTCAGATGCCATTGTAATGAGATAATCAATGTAATTGACTTTACCTGTCAGTGGTCACAATGTTATGGTTGATGTATTTGTACAGTCAGAGAATCCAGTGAGTCAGTTGAAAAGTGTTCAAACATTGTTGCATGTTGTTAGAAGTACAGACATCACAATTGCCTTTGCTGATCTCTCCTTCTGACAATACTTGTCATACTGATCCTCTTGGTTCAGTACTTTCAGTCACTGATTCAAACAAAGCATTGGATGAGTATTTTTTACTTCAGTTCTAGCATGTTTTATGGGTCAGTGATACAAAGTGTTAAAGGTTCAGCGTGACAGTTAATATTTTAAGAAGGTCTGTAATTATTAAATTTGTACAAAATTTATAAAGCACCAGCAGTTTGAGCAGTGCTTTACAAAGTGGAGGGAGACAGTACATTTACAATACAATTTAATACAAGAGGAATCCGAGTGCCCTGTTCCTTAAATATTACAATCTAAAATGGTGGCATTTTTATTTCTCTCAGCACATGTGGCCTTTACTTGCTGTTAAAGGAGAACTAAACCGTTTGATTTAACTGCTTTTTGAAAACCTTTATATTTAAAGCTGACTTAAACCAATCAATTTACCTGTTTTCCAAAACAAATTCAAAGGCATGCTATAAATAACTGTCACGGTTGCTTGTGTTCTCAACTGAATTGTCAAGCCAACAAATGGTGTCATAATGTATACATGTGCAGCATCATAGCTTTTGCAGATCAAACAGACTAAGATGATTGCTTCCTTGGCTGTAAAGCATAGAAGGGTTTAGTTCTGTTTTAAGATAACAGCCTGTAGACTCATCTGGGTTTGTATTGGTTTCCCATGTAAACCTATAATTTGAAATAATACTGTTCTCAAAAATCATTTTATTAGCCTTTCTTAGAATAGTGGAAGTATGCAAGAGAATATATATTTATGTAAGAATGATTGTGTATGTATAGTTTATTAAAGTCCACTGCTATTTGAATTACTATTGCAAGGCCTGGACAGTTAAAATTACACTTGTGTATTGCCATTTGCTTAAATGGGTCATGTCCAGTCTTTGTGTGTTTTTAAGTGTGCTGCCAGGCAATTCAAAATGAACAGGATATCTTTAATTCATGATGAGGTGTTATGTTAATGCAAAGCATAGTATGAAGCATATTTCATATTGCGATAAAAACTACAATATATGCACATTTTAGGAAGGTCAATAATGGTGACATGTTTATTTCTCCATGTTTTATCCCTTTAAAGACCCTGCAAGCACTGAAGATTACTGATTGATCTGCCAGAAATACACTTTGTTCCTAAATCCTATTTATTTATTTTTAGACCAGATTTTAATGAGTATACCTCTCTGTGCCATAAGAGGTATACTCATTAAAAGCCTCTCCGAGCCAATTGATTTGGATGGCTGCTGTGAATTATGCAACTGAACAGGCATCATGCGTCTCTCATCTGTGCCTCACTAGTATATCTAAATACTTTAAAAAAAAAAAAAAATGTAGATATAATTCTCTGCCAAGATCTATGACGCTATATATATATATATATATATATATATATATCTCTTCAGCTATCTAGTACCCTCAATAGTCAGCTAAAACGTAGCGTTAACTTTACATAAAATGCAACAGATTTAATTTGTAGCTTGATCCATGTGTAAACAGGTTCTCCTATTCAAAATACATATTACTTGCCAGGTCACATAACCCACTGTCATTATGGCATAAAAAATGGGTAAAGGACTTAGAAGAAACAAGCGGTGGCTGGATGCTGTAAATAATCCAGATTTCAAGACCCCCTTTCTTGAAACTATTAGTTCTCTATGCGATTAGCAATAACATTTTTAAGTGGGGAAAAAAACGTTTTAAAAAATTGATGTAATATACAGTCATTAAAAAAACAAACACACACAAAAATGTATTCATTGCCCCACGTCATAGTTTATAAGGATGTAATGTACATATCTGGTGCACCTACGTACGAAAGCGATGATTGTGCTACACACGTTTGGTATCACCTTGCACACTGGAGGGAGAACAATAATTCTAGGGCCCATCATTCACAGTTTGCTCTAAACTGATGGCCGGTATTGTTTGTGTGTGCTTAAATTAACTTTATTATTTTTTTTTCACTGAAAATATAGATTTGATAAATGTGTACTATTTTTCTGAAAAATTGCAACTACCACCTGCATTACGTTTGGGCTTTGTAACTAATAGTCAGGGCTGAAATATGCATTTTTTTTCCCTAGATTAGTAGTGCTAGTAGCCTGTTGCAATAAAAGGGTGGGTGCAAGAGAATGGAAGAAATAAAGATAAAATATAAATAGAGAGGGAATGCTTCATAGCAAGTTGTTTGTTGTGATACAGTGTGGAGAAATATTTTGTTTAATATGTTAGTGTATTTATACTGTGCAAAACTTAACATTATTTTCCTTGTGATGCAGATGGGCTGAGTGAGGAGCCTTCGAAGAAAAAATCTACAGATGATACTTCTAGAACAGCAGTAGGCCATACCAACTTTACTGAAGACTTAAATTCATCTGCCAATGTAGATTGGAAGGTTGATCGTTGCCAAGAGGAGCAACGGACCGACACAGGCGTTTCCAGTTCTGCTGCTCCTCAGCACTGCAGTGGCAGCAATGAATCTAATCAGAAAGCAGTGGAAGATGGAGTACAGTTTAGCACGTCTACTGTGCAAAGCCCCCGCAGACCCACTGATGATGATATTAAGCAACGACAGTCCTTCTTTAACAAACTCTATAAAAGAGTTGCTTGGAAGCTGGTATCTGTTGGTGGGTTTAATCCAAGCCATGACTATACAGAAGTACTTGAAGAATGTATTAAAACTTTAAAATCCACACTGGACATCGCTTTTGTTCCACTGAAAGAACTGGCAGAGTTACCTCAAAACAAAACTTCTCAGGAAAACATGGTGTGTGAAATGAGATGCCAGGCTGTTTACATTGGCATGGGTTGTGGTAAAACAAGAGCGAGTGCCCAAGCTGTAGCATCTAGAGAAGCAATAAAACTTTTTCAGAAGAAGAAATTAGTGGTGAAGATCTGCAAGAGAAAATACAGTGGTCGTGAGGTTGAAGATTTGGTTCTCTTGGATGATGAGTCGCGCGCCCCACAGTTGCCTCCAGCGTTAAAAAATCCACAGGATCTTCTATGAGACACTTTATTATTCAAACTCCTAAATACAGAGTTCTAATGCTTTACAATTTATATGTTTAAAAACAATACTTTTTCAAATATTTTCTATTTCTGTTTTAATATGAAAATGTCATTTGTCTTCACAAAGTAACAGCTTTTTTTTTTTTTTTCTACTTAGAATCATTTGGGTATAATTTAATTTGTGGTTTTATGTGTATAAAAATCATTTTAAAATTAATTTAACAGTTTGCCTTTAACATATCACCTATTGCAGTCCCGAAAACATTAGTGGATTTGTATATTTACCTTTCTATACATAAATAGAATAAAGCTTTAAAATTATAACTACATGTATCACCTGTACCATTCATCTAGTTCTCAAGCCTATTCAATTGTGAGTTTTATTTCTCTAAATATCCAGAATAAGCTTTCTAGGGCAATGATTTATATTTACTTCACATGTTAACAATCAGTTGTTAAGATCTGCCAACAGGTATGTGATGCAAGGGCCTGCTGCTTGGAAAAGTTGGTAGACCCTCTAATCACAAAGTAAATGAAAAAGTTGATTGTATGGTCAGATAGTAATGTGTGGTGACTCCTAGATTGCCATTCCCTCCCACCATGGTCACTTTCTGTGCCAGTCTTCTTCAAAGAGTCAAGTGGTTGAGTTTTTTGTTTTAGCCATGACTCCTTGGCAGTATGGCACATATCACTAAAATACAATAAATTATTTTCTGGCTCCTGCCAGAAATCCAGTAAGCTGGTTATTTCTGCTGCAATGTGCCTGTGCTACACTAAAATCTCAAACCATGTTGTTAGCCCTCCCAACTGACATCTATGAACTATAGAATGTCTTGCTCCTATGTTTTGGAGGGCAGGAGATGTTATATAGCCTGAATCAGGAGTGAACAGCATAGGGCAGGGGTAGGTAACCTTAAAAAGGTGGATATCTACATGAACAGCATGGGGAAAGTCAAAGATCACTGGGCACAGTGTCCCCTCTTCACACCGGTTTTTAAACTTCTAATTGCTGTACTGCATGCATTGCATAGCAATCATGGATTTAAATTGGGTGGTGAGGAGGCAGCATATCACCTCCTCACCATCCGTAAATCACTTTTCAGAGGAGCAGCAATGCCTGCTGCCCTTGTGAATGAGCCCGTTGTTGCATTTGGCAGCAGTGCCCTTAGGGCTTGTTCACAGGAAGAGGTTCAGTTGCAGTTTTACTGTCCCCAATCCCTACCCTCTTTAGCTGCTGATGCAACGGCCAAAGGTGTACACATGCCGCAGCAAGAATTAAACCCCCTGTTGCTTTTGGTGGATGCTACCGCCTGCCATTCTAGTAAATGGAGCCACTCTGAAAGGGACCTGCAACTACATTCTTCTGTGGAGACTAAAGGGTTAAAACTGGGTGAGAGCCACAATTCTGCCTGCTTTAACCATTTGTTTGCTGTACTGCACAAGGTTGCAAGACACTTGCAGAGCAGCCTTGTTCACTTGAATGGATCGTACTTGGTGGGCACTACACTGGCAACTCCTGCTGCGACATGTACACCCCTGGCTATTGCAGCTAAATGGGGGGTTGGGGAAAAAACTCTTTAACTAACTATGGGGTTTTACCACCCATCAAACTGCAAATGTAAATGAACCCTTACTGTTCTGAGCCCCCTATAAGGCTGCTAACGCACTGATGTATTGTGGTTTGCCTGCGATGCGGGTGCCGTGCATCTGCAACCTTCCAGGGTTGGCCACGCTTTGCCATTGACTTCTTTTATATCCTGCAGGTATGGTGCACTTTCTGAAAAAAACCCACAGGATATAATGGAAGTCTATGCTTCAATGCACCAAAGCTGCAGGTGTACTGCACCTGCGGTGAGGGAAAACTGCAGCACATCAGTGTGAAAGCAGCCCTATACTATTATGTCCAGTGTATTGCTTCACACTGACCTTAAGATCTCTTTCCTGCTGCTGGCGCCATTCTGGAGACCACTAGCCAGGACAAGTGTTGAAGTGCAGTTTGTATCACTGCATGGTACTGGAGCCAGCACTACAGAAACTTATGTGGCTCTTGCTCCAAACTACAGCTCCAACTTTACACGTAGTCCCTCTGCATTGCACTCTGATGCTCGAGGATGGCGGGTCAGAAAGCCCAGAGTGCAATCTAGATTGCTTACAACCCGTACCCCCTCCCCGCCTAGGGTGACAATGTTGCTTCTCAATAGATACAGTACAGCGAGTGCATATTGCATCACCAGGTGAAAACTGGTAATTTGCAATATAAACATTTTTGTTCTTGGGTCTAGCTATCCTTTAAACACAACCTTTGAGGCGGTGATCAGCGATTTATGGTGTTTTCAGCGAGAAAGTTCAGAGTTTTGTAATACAAAATAGCCTTTTAATAACTTCTGTTATTTTCTGAGGTGGTCTGCTTATGTATGCAAATTAGCAGAAACCATATCTCAAAATCCTTGTATGTCTTTTCAGGCTCTGCTTGATGACTGTCCTGAAACAAAATTATTGTATGCTGAAGAGAGATGTTACTTAGATGTGATATTTGCTTTAACAGTCATGTTACTTTTATTTTCTCACTAAAAATCATGATCATTTTAGTAAATAATGATCCTTATTGCTTAGCAATCATAGCCAAATGCATCCAAACCAGACATACTATAAGCCCACAGCAAACCAGTGCTTGGTAAAATTCTTTAAAATAGAACTAAAGACAAAACTTTTTTTTTTCTAAACGTTTGAAAAGAATAAGGGAGGGTTATAACTCCTGACAGTTTTTCCTGTTATCTGTCGTTTCATAGCCAAAGCATGAAGTAAGAGGACATCCCTCCAAAGTGAAGGGAATGAATCTCCCAAATGGGGGCACAGGCACCAGTAAAAAACTGACAGATGTAAAACATTCCCCTCACACAGTTAACCCTTTGCCTAAATAGTTAACCCCTTCCTCCCCAGTGCCATTAGTACAGTGTCAGTGGGTTTTTTTTTTGCACTGATCACTGTATTGGTGTCACTGGGGATGTCAGTGACCCCAAGTCAGTTCCCTCACCCTGCCCAGTGTAAAAATGTCCGCCGCAGTCCTGCCATAAGTTGCGGATCACTGTCATAAATCGCTGATCACCACCATAAGTTGCTGATCCCCACCATTAGTATAAAAACAAAAATCCCAGTATCTTTCCCGCCATTTGCAGAGGTTTTCACGTAAACCAATTAATTTACACGTATTGGCTTTTGTTTTTTTTAGCAAAGACGTCGCAGAATAAATTTTGGCCGAAATTTATGACGAAATTTGATTTTTACATTTTTTTTTACTGGACATGTTTTATAGCAAAAAGTCCAAAATATTATTTTTTTTTTTCTCAAAATTGTCAACTTTTTTTTTTTTAATAGCGCAAAAAATAAACGCACAGGCGATCAAATACCACCAAAAGAAAGCTCAATTTGTGCGAAAAAAAAAGGACGTAAATTTAATTTGGGTGCAGTGTTGCATGACCGCGCATCTGTCAGTTAAAGTAACACAGCGACATAACACCGCTTCCTGACCACCCTATAGCAGAAATACTGCTACAGGGCGGCATAGGTGCGCAAAATCTCACACACACACAGACACATATATATGATTTGCGCTCCCGTGGTTTTCACACCCCTCCCAGATAGTGTCAGATTGCCCATCAGTACACCAGTCATCACATTTAACCCCTTGATTGCCAGGAGCACGCTCATGCACAATTAACCTCCATTGCTAGTATAGTGTCTGAACGGATCAATATCTTTGATCAGGTCAGCACTATACCAGCGTTCACATTAGTATAGCATCCCCAAAAATGCAGCGTTAGCATGATCAGCCCCGGCACCTGCGTTTAGCCCCTACGCTTACCCCCCCCCCCCCCCCCCTTCTCTAGCAAGTGCAGTGTCAGTAGGTCCCTGTCACTTGATACATTGCACACAAAACTGCAGTGTTTGCAGAATCAGGCCTGATCTCTGTTAGCACTTGCTGGTAAATTTTGATGACTCTCATATGCAGCACAGTGCCAGTACTAGTGCGCGCTACCTTTTGGCATTGCACACAAAACTGCAGTGTTTGCAGAATCAGGCCTGATCTCTGTTAGCACTTGCTGGTAAATTTTGATGACTCTCATATGCAGCACAGTGCCAGTACTAGTGCCTCGCTACCTTTTGGCATTGCACACAAAACTGCAGTGTTTGCAGAATCAGGCCTGATCTCTGTTAGCACTTGCTGGTAAATTTTGATGACTCTCATATGCAGCACAGTGCCAGTACTAGTGCCGCGCTACCCTTTTGGTGAACTGGCGAGTACCAGCGGTCTAGTACATCTTGGTCTTTCACATACCTCCTTGATTTTTGGAGCTATTTTTCACAGAATATCTGTATGCGTTGATTGTGGTTCAAAGCAATTTATATGCACAACAATTTATCGCCACCAACCCAAATTCAAACCTTGCCAGACCAGTCACATGGAAACTCATTACGGTTTCTGAATTTACTTTTTTTTTGGGCCTAGCCCTCAACATGGGCATTTATTAAAAGAAATGAATTGCGGTTGTATTGGTCCATAGACCCAATTCATCATATGCCCGTGTTCTCTGCTGCCATGGCTAGGCATAGATATGAGAGTATAATGTGTTTTATGCATTTCAACAATACACTCTCTCATCCTCGGGGTGACCCTGAATTTGACCGGCTCCACAAAATTCAGCCCCTCACAAATCACCTTAACCAAAAATTTGCAGATGTCTATACTCCCCAGCAAAACATCTGCATTGATGAGTCCCTGATTAATTTTTTTGGCCACCTTGCATTTAAACAATTTCTCCCCAGCAAGCATGCCAGATATGGGATCAAGATGTAGAAGACCTGTGAGAGGACAACAGGCTATACTTATAAGTTTTGGATTTATGAGGGAATAGATAGTCACGTGGAGCTCCCCAGATGCCCAGACTACATAGGGAGCAGTGGCAAGATAGTCTGGGACTTGGTGTCATCCTTTTTCCA